ATGTAAGAAATACTGCTGCTGCACATATAACACATATGAATAACCCCCATATAGCATACATGAATCACCCCGTAGAAGATTTATACAGGTGGAGCTGGGGAAGGTGGAGGGTTTCTGAAGTGCGCCGCAAACAGTTACAGCAAACAAAAGCCAGGTATTAGAATATTGAACAGTAAGCTCATTGGCTACCGATACAGGAGAGAACCAATCAGCTGCCATGTGACAAAGATGTCGCCAGGTCAGATTGAGCTAGACCTATCGGACTGCACCATCTAGAGTTTCATGCCAGAACTCTGTATTTCTGTCATGACAACTCTCGGAGGGATTGGCATGGTAATGGACATGACAATGTTAATGTATTTGGTCTTGGCGGAATAGATCTGCTACGCTGCTGCTGCTGTTGCGGCAGAGCAAGTACAGAGACTTGCTACTGCCAATACATCCACAACATGCTGCTGTGAGCATGTAAGAAATACTGCTGCTGCAAATATAACATACATGAAATAACCCCCATATAGCATACATGAATCACCCCGTAGCAGATCTATACAGGTGGAGCTGGTGAAGGTGGAGGGTTTCTGAAGCAAGCTGCAACTGCTACTGCAAGCACTAGTCATATATTTGAATGTTGAGCAACGAGCTCATTGGCTACCGATACAGGAGAGAACCAATCAGCTGAGCCATGTGATCATGATGTCACTGGGTCAGATCGGACTGCGCCATCTAGAGTTTCATGCCAGAACTCTGTATTTGCTGTGAGGAAAAAAGTCAGAATTGTAAGATTAAAAATCTCAACCTTTTTTATTGTTGTTTTTTATTCTGTGGCGGAAATAAGCTTTCATACAAACCTGTATGACTTTCATAAAAAAACAAAAACAAAAGATATTTCAAGAAATATTCATGCTGCTCTTTTTCATTCAACTACAGCACATAAAATGTTAACTATTCTTTGAAAACCTTTACCAAATGTGTGTCCCAATATATACAGTGATTGTTAACCGTTAGAATCTTTGAATTTTTGGGACGTAACATTCAGCAGTTCACCTCAACCTCAGCTAATTAGCGCTGTCAACCTCGAGCTATGCAGAAAATAGAGTTGAAATGTGGATGTTTATATGCCAGCTGTGGGAATAAGATGCCAAACACGCTTGAGCTTTTAAAATGGTGCAATTCAACTGGTTTAAAAAAAACAAAAACAACAAACCAACAAAACGTGAAGTCAGCAGCATTCAAAATTCATCAAACAACAAAACTGGCCTGCTTTAGGGAAGCAGAAACCTGATCCAGAAGAAAAACTGGCCTATCAAACACTCCAACAGCACAAATATTCAGATTAATATGTACTTGCGAGGTTAATTTACAGCAACTGAAAACGCTGGCGATGGAATCCCACACGGCAGCAATCCAGCCTGAAACGGGTGATTTAAATGCTCTAGCATACAATGATGTCTGATGCAACTCCCTGAAACACAGCAGGCATGCTGGGAAGTTTAGCAGACAATAACAGAACGCTTTTGGGTGAATCTCAAGAAATGTGTCAATAATGTGTCATATTTCAGTCCAACATCAGAAAATTAAGCCTATTATTATGATTTTCAAACATCTCCCTCACTAAAATCTTTAATCTTTAAAAAAGGCTCACCAAGGCTGCATTTATTTGATCAAAAATACAGTAAAACTGTAATATTATGAAATAGTATTACAATTTAAAATAACTGTTTTCTATGTGAATATATTTAAAAATGTAATTTATTCCTGTGATGCAAAGCTGTATTTTCAACATCATTACTCCAGTCTTCAGTGTCACATGATCTTCAGAAATCATTCTAATATGATGATTTGCTGCTCAAGAAACATTTCTGATTATTATCAAAGATGAAAACAGTTGTGCTGCTTCATATTTTTGTGGCAATTGTGAAATTGGATAATTGACAAAAAATGATATATATATATATATATATATATATATATATACATATTAATTTAATTTTCATATATTTTTGTAATTTTTATTTTTGTGGTATTTGTTATACAACCTCTAATTTATGTTGATTTGGAAAAAAAAATATTGTATTAGATTTGTTTACTGCAATGCATTATTTGCACTGTATAATGTAATGAATTTGGTGGAATAATGTGCTAAATTGTCATGAAATAGTGTGGGGAAATTCTTAATAGTTCTAAAAACTTGAATCTAATCTAAAAAATTTTACACAAATAATAATAATCTATTAACTTTGGAGTGAAATATGACTCAAACATTGGTGAGATTCACCCTTTTAGTGGTTTTCAGAACGTAACATGACAGCACTTCAGCAGAACTGACAAAGTTCAGCACGACATGGAGACGGAAATACATCCTTCACACGCAAGTCAACATCACAAAACACAGTGGAATTATGAAGTTACTGAAGGCGAAGCAGTGCGAATTTCCACGTTCACTTACACAAGGAACAAACCTAAAATTGTTCTTTGGCAAAGAGCAGTTTAAAATGACCATTTCATTTCAACTTTGTCAAGATCAAATCATGATACACAGGACGGATGAACAAACAGTGGCTCTCCCTGTCGTTTAATAGCGTTTCTTTGAAATCCCAATTGGGAAATAGGCTTTCATCCTTGAAAGCTCTTCCTTCCTGTGGGGGGTCACAGATGTAGCTCAGCACTTCCTGTGAGGTCACTGTGAGAACATGAAGCTTCCTGTGAAGTCATCACAGATGGATCCAAACATTTCCTGTGAGGTCACGGAGAGGCGTTCCCAGCAGCATCACAGTGCTCACATCTTCCAGATCAGAAGACGAGGAATCAGGCTTGTTGTAAATCAAGGTATGAAGCACACACACACACACACATGTAAGCGTGGGACGCCTCAAGGTGGGACCCTTAATGTCCCCCAAGGTCAGTGAACAAATAAATAAAGAGAGTCTGATGTGGCGGTGGAGAAGAATTTGATATGGGTCGATCCAAACACTGGACAACATCAACGTTGGCAGATGCTCGCTTCCTCCTCCTGCTTTCAGCCCAACTCCTCAAATAACTCTGAGCACACAAATAAAAAAAGAGTGCTTGAGAAAGAGCCAGAAAGGCTGGTCTGTGTCTGGCGGGTGACGGTCCTACCACACCACGCAGCGGTGGCCTGAGTTCATGGGGGAGCCCAGCGGACACTGGAAGTGCTCTGTGAAGTCGGGCGAGTTGGACAGAGTGCCGATTACGCGGTATTTGGGAGGGCTGTGAGGGTCCGTCATCAGGCCCTCGTGAGCGCTTTCTGGCGTTCGGACTGAACACCACACCTACGAAGAAGAGCCATAGGAATGCATGTCTGAGGCCATATGTTTTCACAATCATAGCTCTGATTTGTATTGCTTTTATAAATTTTTTTTTTTTTAAAACAGTATATAGAAATATTGGTAACATATTACAATAAGGCTGTATATGATTTACAGCATATATTAGTTAATATGAATGTATATTAATTTAATAATATAACTTAAAATAATTGTATATTAGTATACATCAATATTAGATTGCATTAATAAAATAAAATTATATTTAAAAACAATTCAATGTAAATACATTTTAATTTAATAAACTTTTATACTAATACATTACATTCAATTAAATTACCCCATTTGAACATTAAACTAAATTTATTTTCTCAATTAAGATTAACCAAGACAATTATTTATTAAGTAATAATACTCAATATTAATTTCTACGTATCTTATATTATATATGTTATATAACACTAATATATTAACAGAATTATTATAAATTATAGACATTATGTAATATACTCCACAATTACTGTATGTTAACTTTATTTTTTATGACTTTGAAAAAAAAAAAATGTTTTAAATCTTTTAAAAGTCTCTTTTGCTCACTTTATTTGATAAAGAATACAGTAAAAAGGCAATATTGTGAAATATTATTGCAATTAAAACAAAAACGTTTTCTATTTTAAATATGGAATTTAAATTTGCAATTTAAATATATAATTTATTTCTGTCATGCAAAGCAGAAATAATTCTAATATGCTCATTTTCTGCTTAACATGTTTCAATGTTACTGTTTTTACTGTATTTTTCATCAACTAAATTTTTCAGCCCTGGTGCACAAAAGAGACTTCTTTCAAAAACATTCCAAAAAAAATCTGATTTCCAAACTTTTTAACAGTAGGGTACACACACACACACACACACATAAATTATACTTGATTATAATTTAATCTATTAACATATTAAAAACATGCTCTTAGTTCATAATGCCTACAGCATGTTAATGTATAGAACCTTGTTGTCGAAAGTGTTATTATTTTATTATAAAAAAATAATTAAATTTTTTTTTTTTAGCAAATGTATTACTGATTCTCTCACCACATCATACAGTGACTAACTAAGGTTAATACTTGGTCTCTATTTGGTTACTATTATAGCAAAATTGTTTCTTTTTTATGTGTGCCTTTTCATACCTGTGCAAAACCTACGAAGAAGAGCTGGTCGTTTGTCAGATTGACAGCTGGGAGTCTCTTCTCTTCACCATTCTTCTGCACCCATGAGCGATACGCCTGCAAAACAAACAGATCTCCAAATCAGTCTGTATTAGCTTTATTAAATTTAACTGGAATTTAGCTTGGAAATAAATAAATGTATAGTGATTAATATGAATGACCACTAGGGGGAGCCTCGTGAACCACATGATCTTCTCAGAATATTCAATAAAGGGGTCCTATTATGCTTTTTCATTTTTTCAACTTTAGTTAGTCTGTAATGTTGCTGTTTGCGCATAAAAAAGATCTGCGAAGTTACAAAGCTCAAAGTCCAATTCAAAAGGAGATATTTTATTTAACAGAAATCACTTTTCAAAAACTACAACGAATGACTCGTTTGGATTACAACGCATATTTTCCGGGATTTGTGATATCACAAATACCGACGAATGGGACGAGACCTGGTTGAGCTGCACTAGAGAAGGCAACGAGTGTTATCACTATTTTATCTAGCTTTCCCAAGGCAGATGAACTTAGATTGGTTACAATCATCCGGGTTTAAATCGCGATCAAATTGATTTGATTTTGACGCAATATTTACACTGAAGCAGGTGGTAAGAGGCATGACATTTCCCGACCAGGCGTCGAGCGGTGCCAATCACAACACACACTGGCCCAGCTAACCAATCACAACACACACTGGCCCAGCTAACCAATCAAATGTCCTATGGGATGCTTTTATAAAATGTAACTTGCTTCTCTAATGGCTTTGAATGACCAACCACTCTTACGGTGGACATCCACTCTCAGGCCTGTCATTTAAATTATTAAATGATTATGAATAAATAACTTGAGTGCCCGTACAAACCTCTAAAAATATTTTGAAAATGGGAAAAGTTTTTGTAAGGCTGGCATTCAGTCAAGTGTAGGAAATGATTGGGCGCTCAATGTCTGCTTTATTTTCACAAATTTAGCCCGCACCTTTCGTTGCATATGAACAAAAACAGCTAAACTCAAAACCTGAAATGTGACCTACATGATAGGCAGCTTTCAGGCCGCCGTTGTCTGCAATGTTTTCTCCCAGCGTCTGTTTGCCGTTGATGTGCTCTCCGTTGATGGTGTACTGAGTGTACTGATCGATCATGCACTCGGTGCGGTTCTTAAACGCGTCCACCGAGGAGTTCTGCCACCACGGCCGAAGGTTTCCATCTTTGTCATACTCTCTGCCTGTGGGGCAGAATTAAAGGGGTTATATAATGAAATATTGAATTTTTCTCAACCTGTCAAAATACAACAGTCTACAAACTTTCAGAACTCAAAAAGACCTTCACTGAAATCAAGCAACTGGACATAATATAGCATCAAGTATAACTGGACATCAGCGGAAGACAACTAACCTTGGTCATCGAAGGCATGTGTTAACTCATGTCCCATCACCACTCCAATGCCACCAAAGTTTAAAGCTCTGTGAGACACACCGAAACATCTCAGTTATGGAAGAAAAACAGCTTAGTTTGTGACATGCTAACTCTTTCAGGCATGTCTGCTCACTTGGGGTGATCCTGGGCGTAGAAGGGGGCCTGTAAGATGCCGGCGGGGAAGACAATCCCGTTCTTGGTGGGCATGTAGTATGCGTTCACCGTGGGTGGAGTCATACTCCATCTACAGCAGTCAGAAATCAGCCGTCAGCTCACAGTACGTCTCACATGCTTTGCTCTTAACACACACTCTTACACTCACTGGTCTCTGTTGGGCGGCTTGCGCAGCTGGTCTGCCATCACTCGTGCTGAGAAGTTATAGAAGTTGATCATATTCTGGAAGAAGTTATCTTCTGTAACCTCATACTACAAGAAAATCACATCACGTTGCCTGTTAGCTGGGATATTTTTTCATATACGTAGTAAGGTTTCACAAAATAAAACCGAGCAAATAAAGTGCCAATCAGAATGAAGGACCGGAACGATCCGTTGTATAATAATAATCTAATCTAATCTAATCTAAACATCTTGGCATGATTTTTAATCTCATGCTCAACCAGGCATACAGTAAAAACAGTAATATTGTGAAATATTATTACAATTCAAAATAACTTTTCTATGTGAATATATTTTCAAATGTAATTTATTCCTATGATGCAAAGCTGAATTTTAGCATCAATAAATGATCCTTGAGAAATCATTCTAACATGCTGATTTGCTGCTCAAGAAACATTTACTATTATCAAAATATTACGGAGCCTATTACATGACATGCAAGAAAAAATAAATAAATCGTGTGCACGATTTACTAATTCGTTCCCTCGATGTACTAAAACGTGCACACGATTACTATTTCGTTCCCTTGATTTGCTAATTCGTTCCCTCGATTTGCTAAATCGTGCGCACAATTTACTAATTCGTTCTCTTGATTTATAAATCGTGTGCACGATTTAGCAAATCGAGGGAACGAATTAGTAAATCGTGCGCACAATTTATAAATCAATGGAAAGAAATAGTAAATCGTGCACACGATTTAGCCTACAATTTTTTTCCTGCATGCCATGTGTGGGGCTCCATAAAATATTTCTGGAAACTGTGATACTTTTTTTTTTTTTTTTCAAGATTCTCTGAAGAATAGTAAAAAAAGTTAAAAACAGTATAAAACGTAACAATATAAAAGTCTTTACTATCAACCTTTTTTGTATCATTTCTTTAGAGGGAAAATACTTATTGATTGAACTTTTCGATGGTACTGTAAATATAAACAAATAATAATTTTTTTAACCACTTAAAACCAGTTAAACTCCGCCAAAATGACGTTAAAAATGTTTATGCTTCATTTACATAGCCTTCCTTATATGGTATCATGTAATCTAATTACTAATTTACTGCAGAATTCTTATTATTTTAAATATTTAAATCATTTGAGCTTTATTCAGTCACACTGAAAATCATTTAAACCTGGAAAACTAAAACAAAAGATATTTCCCGACTCACCCCATCATACACATCATCAAGCTCTTTGGAGTCCAGGATGAAGTCTGGAAATCCGATCATGTCATAGATGGCATCCGCCTAGACCCAGAAAAGACACATTATCCTGATTTTTTTGGCAAGCACTGCAAATTGTTTACAGTTAAGCTGTTTCTGTTAAGCTGTTTCTCAAGACAAATCCGCAAGTTTTGGTTATCCAGTCATGCTGCTGTCTCTGTCATTCTCACTCTCGCTCACCTTGTCCTTGGCAGCTTGTCGGGTCTGTTCATCCATCCAGTTCAAATCATCCAGCGCGTCTTTGAAAGCTGTGCGGATTTCATCTATCATCCCCTCCGCCTGCGTCATGACAGAAAGACGGGGTTGAGAACTGTGTAATTGACTCTGCTGCCACATGGTGGCAAACACACGCCAGCAATAAGAGTCTGAATTACACATGAGGACATGAACTTGCTGTGCAAAATTCAGTATTTTTTCATTTAAACATGACATGTGACTCACTATTTCTTTGCTCTGTTTGTCGAAAGTGGCTTTGACGAAAAGAGCACCCAATGCAAAACCCAGAGTGTCATCTGCATTTCCAATGCACGTCTGCCAGCGTGGAGTACAGGACTGAATATCAAACAGACATATTGACAAATTACATGCAGATGAACTTAGTTGGCAACCTGAAACAAGCATAAAAACACAGAATGGGGGCCAGACTTTTAATGTGATTATGTCAATTTAAAACATTGTTCTGCATGTATACTGATTGCATACACAAATTGTGCAAAACAAATAAAAATAGACTGGACTCTCTCTTTAATGTAAATGTTCACATAATTTTGAAATTCAGATTTTTTTTATTCTATCAGAATTTACTCACCCTCAGGTCCCTTATAAAAAAGTGTTCCTAATTGTGTTGAATGTGCACTTGTAGTATCTTAAAAGTACATTTTAAACTCTGTACTTACAGATAATATAATACTGATTAAATAAAAGGCCACCTTAAGTGCAGTTAAAGACAGACATATTCATGACCTTGTTTTTTACCACACTTAATATACTTTTAAGAAGTGCACTTTGTAATAATGTCAAATTAAAATTTTTAAAGTACATTTAAAGTACAGTTTAGCTGACTAAGATACTAAAGCACATGTAAAGTATTTGATTGTAATTTAACTGTACTGTGTTATTTTATATTACATTTACATATACTGTAAATGTGCTAAATTGCAACAAATATGTCATTACAAGCATATTTACTACGAAAATACATATAGACTTTCTTAAGTGGGTCATCAAGTTTGAATATGCGTTAACACAAATGAGAATTGGAGAGGTGAGGAAAAAAGATTTTCAGTGAATAATGACTAAAATTTCTGATCATCACACAAAGCACGTAATGTATTGTGTGTGGACCTTTTTTGGTGTTATAAGGAGGTTTTTTCAAAGCTTGACAATCCTAGTCCCCATTCACTTCCATTATATTTCCATTACATTACATTGTTCCATTAAACAGCCAATCGGGTTTGGAACAACATGAAGGTAGTAAATAAATGACAACAGAATTATCACTTTGGTGTCAACCATTTCTTTAACACACACTCCAACAACACACACCTTCTTAGTGCCGTAGAGGCTCTCCAGCAGCTTATCCTGAGCGTTCTCAAAGCGCTGGTCCAGACTGGACGCTCCTTTCTGAACCAGATTCCAGATCATGTAATTATTCAAAAGACTGGAGAAGAAAGAGAGAGAATGCATCCACATATCTAAAAAAGGGCCCATGTCTTCATCTGTATTCATTTATTTATATAGGTAAAGAGAGAGACGGTGTTAAAGAAGCAGTAAAAATATTCTCAGACTGGGAGACAGAGACAGTGATAGTGAGAGAGAGAGAGAGAGAGAGAGAGAGAGAGAGAGAGAGGGAGGCTGTTATTAGCACTCAATGTTTTGATAAACAAATGTAAACAGACGCTCTCAGAGGGGACATCCTCTTCCTGAACTCTGATTAGCTGTAACCATGGAGACAGCCGTACCTGTGGTCCGTCTTGTTGATGAGATCCGAAACTTGTTGCAGGTATTCTTTAGCGTAGACCACCACAGGCTCAGTGTCGTTCAGCTCCAGCGGTGACAGGACGAAGTTCAGATAATCCAACCATTCAACTGCCGGAGCCAACACCTATGACCGAAACAAACGGCATACTGAATATCTCCATCCTAATGCACTAAAATAATAAAATTATGTTAGGAACAATTTTGGGCCGTTAAGTGAGAACCGCCCCCAACCACTACTGATACCTATTGGTGTGGATGCAGCATTACACAACAGCAAACATTTTCAGTTATGATAATGAGCCAAAATAAATAAATAAATATCTAATTGTAACTTTATATCTTACAATTAAAACTTTACATGTCACAATGTTACTTTATTTCTCACAATATGACTATGACTAATATATGCCCTAATGTGAGTTTATATTAGGGGTCGACTGATTATCGGCCTGGCCGATTATCGGCGCCGATATTAAGCATTTTTATGATTATCGGTATCGGTCATTTTCAAAAACAATTTGCCGATAAAATAACTTAATTTTGAAACGGGCTATTTGGCTCTGATGCAGCCTGTCAGAACTCACCACTCTGTGGCCTAAAGCAGTATCTGCCCACCGCTCATCTGATTTGTTGGGAGTCATGTGTCCGACCAATCAATGCGGAATTCACTCTCACTCCAAAAGCGCTTGCTAAATAGAGTCGCGATATGGACTAGTATCTGTAAATATTAAGCCGCAAAATATACTATTTAAATATGAATCCTGCATGTTCTGCATGACTGTTCTGCTCTGACTCCCTCTAAGAGTCACTTCATGATCATTTGACAGTTTCATTTGAGTAAAACTATCGCAGTGTTTCCCACAGACTTGTGGAGGCATATATATGCAAATTCATTCTCTGCCAGCAGTTGGGAGTTGTAGAGATCAAGGCTTCCCCGGTAACGCTGCGCTGTACACAAAGCAGCGTTCACAAATGCTGCTTTATCAGATATTACATGCAAGATGAAATGAAAATGACATCCAAAATTTTCTGAAGACAGTCTGGTTCCTTCAGAAATACAGTGATATAAAAACACCCACACCGGGTTTCGATTTTGAAGACAGTCGGTTTCCTTCAGAAATACAGTGATATAAAAACACCCGCACCGGGTTTCAATTTTGAAACGTGCAGTGCTCAAGTCAAAGCCTTTTGGAAAATCTATTTGTGGCGGTCAGTGTTGATATTGTTTGTAGCGCCACAAATAAATCAGTGTATGGGAAACACTTACATAGGCTACAGAAACTTAAAAGTTCTCCATGACAACCCGTCAAAATATAAGTTCAGGTTAGCTTAAAGAAATAAGGGCTGTCAAAATGACTGAAAAACTAAATTCGAAATTACTTAATATGATCAAAATTCGAATCATATTCGAATTTAAAAGGCATAATTTCAGTTAGGGGGAAAAAGGCTACTTTCTTCATTTTAAAAAATGAGATACAGTGGGATGAGGAAAAACCATAACGTCTTTAGACATGTTTTTTAAAAGTTGAACTTGCATTAATTTTACATGGCTTTCTAAACATGCCGCTCTCTGCGAGACGCAAGTGCAACGCTGATAGATGTCCCTCTAGAAAATGTGATAAATATGCGTTCTGTGTGAACGGCTTGGTTTCAGTTTTGACGTAAACAACATCTTCTCCACACTGATGCTCTCGTTTTCCGCAATATATGAATGAACAACGTAGCAGCGCCGCATCTAGTGGCTTCAACTGGATAGGCTAACAAAAGCATTCAAATGCAATCAATGACACATACATCGTCATCGCATCTCGTGCGCCACTGATAAGGCTTCCTGACGGCTAACGCAGACCTTAAATTCGAATACAACGTTTTTGCATCCGAATATGGATTTTTTTTTTTTATTCAACGAATATTCGAAATTCGAAAAAAAATTTGACAGCCCTAAAAGAAGTGATCAGAAATATATTACTGTGGTGCAGTATTATATACATAATACTACTACAACAATTATTACAACTTTTGTTTTAAAGAATAATCACACAATATGCTATTTCTTCAATGTTTTAATTTTAATAGTAAACGCTTTGCCAAAAAATAAAGAGTTTAACTCTCATTTGATTAAAAGATAAATTAAACTGATTTATGCATTGCACTGTACTGGAAATTAAAACTAACTGAAATTTCTAGTGTCACATAGGCCAAGACATTTCAATAGGCTATTGAACTAAGTGTGCCTGTAAAAGGCTATTAGTGTTATAGTTTCATGAAAATAGTTGCAGTCTTCTTAACAACTTCTACAATATAGCTATGAAGACAATTACATTTACACTTATTATATACATTTTTTAAGTTAATCCATTGATGTGCATTAGATGAATTGAATAGTCACCTCTACTATTGTAGGTTATGTTTTAGTCATCAGAAAATAATTAATGAGGAATTATGAGAGGTTATGCTATTACACATACATTTCTAACGTAAATTATTGAAGCCAAATACTTACATTTCCCCAAGCTGTTTAGCTGTAGTACAGTATTCATAGGCTTAATCATGAAGCATACAGTGGCCCCACTTTTAACTCTCTCTTTATATTACCCCTATTGTAGATGGATGCACAGAGGAAGACAAGAGTAAGAAGTGCAGTGTGGGAGTACTACACTCAACCAACACCAGGAAAGGCAGTTTTTGTCAGAGCCCTTGTTATTCTTAATTTTGACATTTAATTTTCATTTTTACACCAGACATATATATCGGTTCAAAATATCGGTTATCGGTCTACCTGAACTGTAATAATCGGTATCGGCCCTGAAAAACACATATCGGTCGACCCCTAGTTTATATCTTGCAATTGCGACTTTGTTTCTCATAATTGTCACTTTATCTCTCACAATGTGACTTTATTTATTGTAAATGTGGCTTTATAAATGTCAGTGTAACTTTGTAGCTCACAATATGACTTTAAATCTCATAGACTTCATTTCTCACAGTATGAGTTTATTTATTGCAGTGTCGCTTTAAATGTCACAATTGTGAATTTATATATGGTAAAGTGACTTTATATCTTCACTGAAAATTTTTTTTATATAAAAACAAATTTCACAAATAATTACAAAGAAATGGCAAGTAACACATTGAATTAAACATGACATTTTTGAAGTAGAAAGACTTAAATAGTATTTTCTTGTAAAACATACTACAGTAAACTTTGGGGGGGGGGGGAAACGCAACTTTATTTCTCATAATTGTCACTTTATATATCACAATTGTGACTTTTTATTTTGCAATTTGTGATATTTCACAGTCTGACCTTATTTTTGTAAATGTGGCTTGATAACTCACAATGTGACTTTATCTTCTATCACAATATGAGTTTGTATCTTGCAGTGTCACTCACAATAGCAAATTATCACAGATGTGAATCAGAATGAGTTTATATATTTGGTCACACTTTGTGACTTGCATTTTCTCGTAATTGCAACTTTATATCTCACAAGGTGACTTTAAATCAATCATGATTATTTTACTCTACAGTAAAAACTTCTATGACTGGGGTTCAATAATCAAGTGAACAGCATTCGTGAAGGGGCGATGCACTTTAATAAATATTTTTGTAGGGAGTGTTTCCTTTTTAATTCTGATCAATTTAAATTTTTCCATAACCTTGGCTGTGAGAGCTCTGCCCGTCTCGAAACTTTCCCTTAATGATTTCTCTTTCAGCCATGAAAAGGACACAGAATGTGTGTTTGGATTCGCTCTCACACAAAATGCTCCACTAATCAGTAGACTAGAGCCAATAACTTGCAGGTTTTCATTCCTGAATCCTGGATGCAGTTCTAGCCGCTCTGCCCTTGGGTGTAATACAGCAAAGACCTCCATCGCAAACACAGAGCTGAACGCCTCACTCAGCACACAGCCCTCCTCTCCACTGTGGATTTCTAATAGATGAAAACAGATTAGCTGACTAAATTGGACTGTTTTCTCTCTCTTATGGTTATGAGAAGCTGTGTTGTTTTTTAATAAACCTGAACCCCTGCATGAAGACGTGCAAAATAAGAAATGACTGTTGCAAGTCTTGGCTGATGAGAGTTAAAAACAAAACAAAAATCACATTGTGTTGCAGTTAAAGAACTAAAATCTGATGTTTTTTTTGTGCGAGCGAGGGGAATAAAGAGCACTGTTATAAATGTATGTGTTACCCACACAAATCGTAGAACCTAAAAATGACACAAAGACATGATATTTTGTTTTCTTCTCTTAAAAAAAGAAGTCAGCGTGTTGAGTCAAATGTAAGAATCCTCGCGGGTGTCACCACACATCTGAGCTGCACGGCTGCTCACACAAGAACAGTCATATGAATGTATAATGTATCAGGATTCAGCATGGAGGCAGTGGGATGAAGAACTGCTGCTAATTTTGCATGCAATTCCATCAAATGGTTTTCTAACAAATTACTCAAGAATTTTAATTCAAATTTGTAAATGAAGTAAATGAAAATATACAACAAATGAAGAAAAAAAACCGCTACACTTGTACATATATTTACATAATTAACTGATGCCTGTTTAATCATGTAAAACAACTATACAAAATTTGGGCTTATTCAAAAGATACAGAGATATGCCTTATTCCCTTTATACTGACAGCAGACATAATTTAATCGGTAAGCGATCAGCTGTCACTGCCACCCCTCCACCTCAACAACTCACTGTACAGTTGCTCAGCAACTGTTGCCACGGAAATCACAGGAGCCTTCACAAAACAAAAGTTTCCTGAACACTGGTGCTCAAAGAAAAAACAATCTTAATAATCAAATGATGGAAAAAAGCCAGAATACAGAAGAATGAATACAATATGCAGAGAAGGATGAAAGAAAAAAGAGAATCGGATGTGTCTGAGCCAAGATTAGAATGAAACAAACACAGATAGATCGACAGATAGATAGATAGATAGATAGATAGATAGATAGATAGATAGATAGATAGATAGAAAGGATGGATGGATGGAACGATAGAACGCATATATAGAACGGATGGATAGATGATGGAACGACAGAACGGATAGATAGATAGATAGATAGATAGATAGAAAGGATGGATGGATGGAACGATAGAACGCATAGATAGAACGGATGGATAGATGGATGGAACGACAGAACGGATAGATAGATAGATAGATAGATAGATAGATAGATAGATAGATAGATAGATAGATAGAACGGATATAGATAGTTGAATGGATGGATGGATGGATGGATAGAATGTATGGATGGATAGATAGATAGATAGATAGATAGATAGATAGATAGATAGATAGAAAGGATAGATGGATGGAACGATAGAACGGATGGATGGATGGATAGATAGACAGACAGACAGACAGACAGACGGACTGATAGATAGATAGAACGGTAGAATGGATGGATGGAACAATAGATAGATAGATAGATAGATAGATAGATAGATAGATAGATAGATAGATAGATAGATAGATAGATAGATAGATAGGTTGTCCTCGTCTTATTTCATAAAGTGTGAACACAGACTCACAGCACTGTATATTCTTCATCAACTCTCTCTTCTCATATCTCATACAAACACCTTTAATAAGCAATCTGTGTGAAACACACTCATTATAACATTATAATGATTCAAACTAACGATCCCAAATGTTCAGCTCAGAACTTCTGAACCTAATCAACACACTTTCATGTGTTTACCGCAGCATTTCTCCAAACCCAATGAACCCCTCACGAGGCCGCACACACACACACACACACACACACACACACACACCTGCAGATCAGCTATGGTTATCTTGTGGTAGATCTTCTCCTCGTCCCGCCGCTCGTCCTGAGGCACTGTGATGTTAGCCAGTGCCGTCTCGAAGTCCAAAATCTGCTGCATCTGAACTCGAGTGGAATTCTTGTCTCCTCCCAACAACAATCCCAACTCGACCATGTAATCCAGGTAAGCCTTCAACACCTAAACACACACAAACCAGCACAGAGCAGCTATTAGACATGCACTGCAAGCTGGGAAAGACTCAAAGCTCTTGACATTCCAGTGTAAACTGAGACTTTAAGTTCTGCTTCGTCCTACCTTCTCATTGGTCTTATTGAGGTAATAATCTCGGGATGGGAGGAAGAGTCCTGATTGGTCAACCTGAGGAAGTTTACACAGGTGAGCAAACACCAGAGATGTGGTAAATACGACAAATACAATCAAACAAACACTTTCAGCAGAGTTTATTAAACTCAATACAGTGAGTAAATGTACCTGAATGACATTACTGTTGGAGTTTTTGGGATCAACGCTGACACCGACAGTGAAGAAGGGCTGAGCTCTGTAAGGTCCAGAAACTATCTTTAAAACATCCAGAAAGTTGTCTTTGTCCCAGGACTCTGTGATATTCCAGCCTCCTATCTACACACACACAAAGAAAAACATCAGATCTAGCAACAAGACTAAGGTGGTATTTGTAGACTTAACATGAACCCAAAATTGACCCAATTTACATTCTTTGTATCTGTTTCTTGTTATGCTGTCCACCAAATGTGTAAATGTTAAACCAAGGCCCGGAGATATTTCAAATGTGGGGGCAACAAACGCTTACATAAAATGAATCACCTGTTTTTTCATATGCCGCGCACGGGACACACTAAAAAAACTGCCATTTGATTGAATTCTAGTAAATGCGAAATAATTGCAATGCTCAGGCAAACCACTATAGAGTTGGTGTCGCTATAGAGTAAGAACCGGTGAATGCAATTTACAAGTTTCATTGAAAGAGAATGACATGCGCCAAATTAGTCGCTGTAGAAATCGAATACCTTAATGGTTGCGGACGAAATAGGTCAACACGAGAGCCAGCGCAAACGCAATGACGTGAAATAAAACGTCATCGTGTTTTAAAGAAGAGTGGCTTGATTAAGTGGTGGAAATAGCGGAATGATGGGCACAGAACGGTAACAAAACTCAGAGACATTTACAGTCACACACATGAGTAGTGTGCAAACTCTACTACTCTAAACCCTACTTAGATAACTACATAAGAATTCACATGTTCACGTTCATATATATATATATTTAGCTTACAGATCTCAGTTTAAATGCTTCAGTTTGTTTTTATATCATATTATATTATATTATATTATATTATATTATAAGGGGTAATTTACATTTTTGGGTGAACTGACTCTTTAAACGCTTCAGTTTGTTTTTATATATTACATTATTTTATAAACCTAATAAATAATTGACCTCAAAAAGGGAATTCATGAACAATATCTGCTTCATCTTTCGATATTTCGATATATAGTAACGAGGTTACTAAATAAGATCACAAAAATATGCCTCAATGAAGGTAAAAGAAAAATACTCTGCAAATCAATTTGAGGATTCAAATGTTCAGTTTCTAGCAACAAGATGCACTATGGCTTGAAAACTTGAGGAGCATGACTCTGATGAGTTCAGGCCGACACCTCATTAAAGCCAATTAAATCTGTCACCTCTGAGAATAAACCTATTCACGGCTCTATTCAGCAATACTCGCTCTGTCACGGTGATCCCGATGACACGAGATGACAGAAAGGGCGACAGAATGAGAGAAAGACAGTGGAGAAGAGCAGCGTTTGTGTTCAAAAGGCAGCTCATCAGAGGCACTATAGATTTTTGTCCTCCATCTTCCCCACCATACCTCTTTTAAACCTCGCAGGAGGCAGCTGTGTGTGGGGAGGCAGTAAATTAGCAAGATTAAGTGCTGTTTGATATCACTGCTTTGTGTCTGTAACACGGATTAATCTTTCAGGCCTGTGCTGAGGGTTAGTTTCAGAGCTTTCTTCTTCAAAATGGCTGATTCAGAGAGATAGAAGTGCATGAAAACGTCTCTCACTGAAGGATGTCTACATAATCTCAAGGCTCGCCGATTTCAAAACGAGAGGAATAGACAGTATCAGAGCCATTTGAGACAAATTGTCTTGCTCAGCTCAAATAAAAGAGTTGATTTTTAGGAGATGCACAGAAAAGCAATCAAAAAAATTAATCAGGCATCAAATTAAATCATAGGTCAATCGACAAAATTGGTGTTTTGTGTCCCTCATTAACATATGCAAAAATGACTGCAAATGAATAGGAAAACGCTGAAAGAATGTTTACAATTTTACAGAAATTTACTGACACTGACTGACTCAGTTTGCACTCTTTATCCTCCGCACCAGAGGGGGGCGACGTAGAAACACTCACCTTTGCAATCAAGTCGATGAGTGGTTGGGCTCCAAGCTCTTCTATTCGCTGTTCATTAAGACAGGAAAGGTAGTAGGACTGCGTCTTCCTCTCTGCTTCACTGCTTGAGTTAAAGGTGCCATTTTCTACAGGAACGCAAAGAAAGTTGCATCACAAAATGGTAACATTTAATAAGTAAAAGTTTTAAAGAGGTCATATTATGCCCTTTTTTTACAAAATATAATACAAGTCTCAGGTGTCCCCAGAATGTGTCTGTAAAGTTTCAGCTCAAAATACACCACAGAACATAAATTATTCAATGCTGTAAATACACCTTTCTTGGGTGGAAGCAAAAACATGCTGTTTTCGTGTGTGTCTCTTTAAATGCAAATTAGCTGCTGCTCCCCGCCCCTTTCCAGAAGAGGGGCGGAGCATTTACAGCTCATCAACAAACAAAACATGTTTGTTTTTGACTATCATCTCTATTGTGAAAATGTGAATTGTGAGACAAACTCAGAATTGCAAGATATAAACTAGATGTAAACGAGTTTACATCTCACAACTATTTTTTCCCGCCACAAAAAAGGGTAATTGCAACTTTTTGTCTCACAATTCAGACTTTTCTTCTCAGATTTCTGAGTTTACATCTTGGAATTCTGTTTATATCTCGCAATTTTGACTTTGTCTCACAATTCTGACTTCATATCTTGCAATTCTGAAAAAGAAAAACATCTTGTGGTGGAAACAAGCTTCCATACAATGCTCCTTTGGCCACTCTATGCTTTCATCAAAATGTTCTTCAAAATTACTTATTTTGTGTTTGAAACAAAATTAGGGTGAGTAAAAAAAAAGATTCATATTCTGTTGGTGCTTGGATGCTAAAGCAAAACTGTCCCTCACAGAAATAAAAGACAGGACATGAAGGATGAGAGACAGGAAACAAAAACATCACATAGATAAGGGGGCAGCTTAGAGCACCATCATTAGGGTAAACAAACATGACAGCAGGGAGAACAACTTGCACAGGGTCAACGCACAGGGTCATGAAACAGCCAACGGAGTTTCTCCAGCTGCCTGTCAAGCTGACACAATGGTGCCCTCTGATTGGCTCCCATCATGACGCATGGGATTATGGTACGTAAACAGAGGCAATTCAGTGCAGGTAAACAGAGACCGAACTGGAAGATCTGCAACAAAGGGCCCTGCCATCCATCTTTTTTAATGTCACGTCCATGACAGCTGTCCTCGCGCAACAAAACGTGACGAAACGCAGACGCCGTTGGCGAGCCAAATAAGCAGGGTGGTTTTCATCCTCAATAACCTCTGCCATCAGTCGCAGTCAAAACACTGTGTGTCGCAGCTGCCAGCACAACTACAGGCAGAGGGGAAAAGCACTGCCACTTTCATGCTAACTTCATTCACATGAGAAATGGCCAAATTAAGTGGAAGGTACCAGAACAGGTGATTGGCAGTGTTAGGTGCAAATTGGAATCAACAGAGAAACAACCAGTGAGGGACAACCTGTAAGTACACCATGCAGGTTGACTTCCTGAAGAGTGCAAATACTCTTCGGTGTACATGACTGTAGAGTATGGACCAATCAGACACACCATTTTTCATTAGATTTAACAAATCAATTATTCATTAGATTAACAAATAGTCACAGACCCCTCACCCAATAAACATACTGGGTGCCAGGATGTCTGAGAAACGACACCAGGCCCCTGGTCACCATGGCAACCATGACACCTTTGCTAGACCAGATACACTTTACGACCTAATGGCATGTTGAGAGTTCTCCCTCTCACTACATTTTCCATAGGAAAGACACATAATGCACAGTAAAAATGGACTCTTCTCTAATTCATTCATAGGAAAACCTTTCTGTGAATGAACACACATCTCCTCAGGACATTGTGTATACCATTACTGTTCTTGTATATTGTCTGTTGTATTGTATGCTGTTTTATGCATGTTATGATAGACCACTAGTTAATAGTTAATATAATCCCACCGATACCATGTTTGATCTCTTTGAATTTGTCTTCTGATGATCTAAATGAGCGTTTATATTATATGTGGGTACACATGGGCAATATATTATATTAGTGTTCTAAGAATATTTAGTAATTTTGCATCAACACCCAATCGAGTTCCATATGCAAATTACCATGCTCTCAGACAAAGGGTCATAAAACTCCCCAGTATTTCCAACCTCCCGGTTTGAAATTCAGCCTTTCTCATTGGACAAGCCCATCCTGAGAGGCGGGAATCTTCTCAGATCTTAAAAGGCTCACGCACAGTTCCGCCCATGTCTTTTGTTGTCCTTCTTCTGCTAAGAAGCGTGTTGGAGCCTGAGCTGGTGCGGGCGTGCCCGGCGGGCCCCAACACGTAGCTTTCAGTCTGCGGTTCTGTTAGATTCTGAGAAGATGAGGATGTGAGCTAGCAACCCTCTAAGGACACCCTAAGTCTGCACCAGGCCTCGGGCCTTGACTTTCCATTCACCAAGATCATCTGACTCAAACTGGTTCTTTTTGGGTCAAGTAAATACTTACAGCGGATCTAAATATTTATAATTAATTATAACTAGTTATGATTAATTATTCATATTTCCCCTTTGAGCTGATTCGCTACATGACATACTGTGGATACTACACCTACCTACATTTTTTGTAAAACTCCAAAAATGTTGCTAGGGTTGGGCCGATAGACGATGCCATTGTCCATCGCCGATGGCTAATAGACATCGCAATGTTTATCACAATGCACAATTGAAACTGCTTTTGAATGCACGATCGCTTTTTAGTTTAATTTCACTTTCGAGATTCGCGATCGCACGTAGTCTGTTTATACTATGGAGCGGCAGTACTTACTACTACTTACCACACATTTTACAAGATTAGATGTTTGTCAGTGGTGCTCAGGATCTGCAAATCATTCGCCATCGTCCTCAGTAATCTCTCCTAACTCTGTTTATGTGGTAAGTGAAATTTTATGTACTGTAATGTAACAGGCAACCGTTACACCGTGTCTCTACACTGGACGCGACAGTTGCCAAAACGCCACGACCGTTGAAAATCATTTGAAATTTGTGTCAGCACGTCATAAATAGAATGCGGCAGCAGTTTACTGTCGGGGATTTGTCATGTCGTGTCATGTCGCGCCACCCCATATCCAGAGTAGACAGCATCACTGATCATAATGAGTTCTATACACTGATCTATATATAATGAATCTCTATTATAGATCAGTGGTTCTATGTATTTTGCCGTGCCGCGCCACTCACGTCCAGTGTAGACACAGTGTTCAGGAATCGTTATTTGTTTTCCGAGCCTTATAAGGAGCACTCGGGTACGAGAGTCGTGAAACTCAAGTCGATAAAAGAGCTCAAAGACTTGTAGACGCAAGCTAAAATGGCACAGTTGCTTCAGCAAATTCATTTTTCTTCACAGTTTTGTAGAAATGTCATCTTTATTTCCGAAAAGATTTTAAATATAATTTTCAAAGTGATTTTTTTTTTAAATGTAATTCAACGTTTTGGGGGAGTTACACCATGTGACATGAATGATCTCACATGACTTTGCTGACAACCGTTTTTTAAATCTTAAAATTTTGACAAAATTACTTCACTGCTTTTTCATCATATAATTTGAATTAAACTTTCAATAGTTAATGTAAATGCTGCAATTTCATTTTGTGTTTATAGTGGAACAGAAAAGATACACTTTATCTTTTCACATCTCAACCGAGAAAAGAGGAACACACAGGGGTTTGAACAAACAGATAAAGGCACACAAATAATGAGTCACAAATATGCCCACACCGACCCACTCTTGAACACACAATTATGCTTGTCATTGTGACCTTTGATTGGTGCTATTAGTTGTTTTCATGGCAATACACCTCACACATCTTTGGAGAAGGAATAATTCACTCTTCTCCTTGTTTTTTACACACATCTGTGTTGTGTGAAAGAGATCTGGCGTAATTAATCTACAATATGATCATTCAAGCAAACAATTTGCAAATCCCTAAACCAGCTCTTAGTTTCACATTCTCCTCTGTTCTTGCTCATTTGTCTTTTCCGCTGTATTTTCTCCTCCTAACAGTGCAATTACATTAAGAAACAGGAGGCAGGAATATTCAAGTAATAAATTCTCAGAGGAACAGTGGCAGTCCAATTACCGGTCAGCGGGTCTAGTCTAGAGAGAGGACACACGGTGAGAGAGAAATGGGCTTTGGCACGACTCACTGCTCATCTAGCAGAATTCAGAGCTGATCTCGTTCCATTTCCAGAATTTGCTTGTGTTTGTTTGTGTTTGCTGGGCAAAAGGTGACAGTCAGCCCGGTGCATTGGCACAAAGCGCTCATTTGTCTTTTTCAAAGTGGCTCTGTGTGAGGGCAAAGCACGCTGTACTGCTTTGCAAATGCACACGCTTACAAACACATAATCTGACTTCATGAATCTACGCTTTTGTCTTTGCTTAAAGGGGTCATATGATGCGATTTCAAGTTTTCCTTTCTCTTTGGCGTGTTACAAGCTGTTCGTCCTCGCCCTCCCTAAAACGCCTCGTTCTAACACGCCCCCACATGTCTACGTCACTGTGTGGGAAGATTTGCATAACACCGCGCAAATGTTCACGCAAAGAAAGAAGGCGTAACTTTATTGTTGCTGCCGCTGCCGCCGCCATGTTGTGAAGACACTGTGTGTTTCATTGCGAAAGCGAAACTACCTTGTTTGGCCTTCCAAAAGAGGACACAACTAGAAATCAGTGGTTAAGTTGTATTTACAACACTGTTCCAGAACACTTCAACCCAAATATTCAGATGTGTGCAGCGCATT